TCCTCCTCCTTTATGACATTCATGGAAGAAACTGACTAATTTGTCTTGATGAATTTCCTATAATCTGACTTTGGCCGTTCACAGCCTCATGCTATGATTTAATAAGTTCCTCTATTATGCACCTTTCTCATCCTGTATTTCCCGTAAACACTGATCATGAGACATAAAATCTTGATTAGATTCTTTTAGCTGTAGCACATCCTGTTTAACCTTCTCTTGTACTGTCTTCAGAAGGCACATAATATCCGGCTGTCTTGCTTTAACTGATGTAACACTGATCAATATGTTCGTGTGTATCAGCATGATTCACTCATCACAGTTGGCCCTCAGTATCTGCAGAAGGTGCAGCATGCTTCCAGGACTATCTTGCAAATAATAGAACCTGCAGATGCTCTAGACCCCTACATACAATGACTTATTATTTACATAGGACCTATACATATCTTCCCATATACTATAGAACAGCTCCACATTATGTAACGTCATGTAAATGCTGTGTAAATGGTTGTCACACATCCCTATAGGTTTGGACACAACCGTTATAGGCCTGATGACAGGAATGAGTTGTGCTTGAACGGTGGGTATGGCAGCGCAAAGAGAAGGAAGTGAACTAGGGAACAATTCTGGTTTTTGTTTTTTTTTGAGATGGGGTCTCATTATGCAGCTCCGACTCACTTCGAGTTTGCTTTGTAGAGCAGCCTGACCTTGAATTGGAGGCAATTGTCCTGCCTCAGCCTCCTGCCTCACATCTGCGATTATAGGTGTAAGCCACCAAATGTGGCAAATGGAATACTTAGATAAGGAAAGGCATTCATCTGGATAGCTATGAAGAAACATGCAACACTCCATTTTACAGTGAAGAAATCTGAACCTGGAGAACAGTCTGACAAGCTGTACATCTGCTACCATTACTGGGGGATGCAGGCTGAGAGTCAGTAGCCAGGCTCAGTAAAATAACTAAGCTGTCCCCTAGCTGGGTGTGAAAACACACACCTGTAATTCTGGCACTTAGGAGGTAGAGGTAGGGGGGTTCAGGAACTCAAGGCCAGTTTCCTCTCCGCAGTCAAACAGGTCAACCTGGGCTGAGACCATATCTCAGAAAACAAACAAGTATACAAACCAAAACAACACCAACACACAAATAACAACAAACACAAAATGAAAAAAAAAAAAACCAAAAAACGGTTAATAGTCCCTTTAAAATAATTTTGAAGGAGGCAGTGGCGGTCCCTGAATTCCTGGCTCAGGTCATTCTCCTGCTTCAGCCTCCCAAGTGGCTCATACTACAGCTGCACACCTCTGTGGCTTCTCTTCCCTCCCTCCCTCCCCTCCCCTCCGCTCGTCACTCTCCTCTCCTTCCTTCCTTTTTCTCTTCTCTCTCCCAGGTTTTGCTGTGTAGTGCGAGCTGACCTCAGCCTCTGAAGTGGTTAGTGAATTTGAATGCTGAGATCATAAGAATATACGACCACTCCACCTTCTCTCGTTTTATAACCAATTTACTGAGCAGTAATTTATATATCATAAACACTCACCATGTGTGTATAGTTCAGATATAGCATGTGCAGATATACATTTGTGCAAGCACAATATTATACAATAAAATAACAAAATTTAAAAAAAATCTCAAATAGAATAAACATCGAACACCAAAATTAACTGAGATCGCTCAGTGTTTAAAGCACTTACCACACAAGCCTGGGGACTGGTGTTCGGATCCCCAGAACTCACATAAATGTGTGGTATAATTCCAGCCTTGGAAGGCAGAGAAGAGAGATCGCAGAGCAGGCTGCCTAGCTAAACTAGCTAGCTCTGGATTTGATTGAGGAGAGACTCTGTCTCAATGAATACAGTAGTGATCAAGGGTGATTCCTGACAGCAACCTCAGGTGTTCACATGCACATGTACACATACACATCCCAACATGTGCCTACAGTCAAGCAAATATGCATATATACACATGCATAACACACACACACACACACACACACACACACACACATGAAAGAAAAAAAATCAAAATATTTCTAAAATGATTAGTAAGTAGCCATTGTCCTACAATCGCTAAAGACCCTTGCTCCCCCAGCTCTGAACATTCCTAGCCTCTCCTGCAATCCAACTAAAGCATCTGGTCCACCCAGAGCATACCAGTACTCCGTCCCAGCAGTGAGCAGTATCTGCCATGAATGGTTAGCACCATCAGTTTAGGGTACTCTTGGGAAGGATCCAGGCAAGCACTCATTTCTTGGGTACCCACCCATAGCTTTTCTTCACACATCCTGTGTGGTCCTCACCAGTCTATGCATTGGAAGCCCAGTTTCCAGCTTGCAACACTCTTGGGTGTTATAGAACCTATAGGACAATCTACTGGAAAGACATTAATTAGGTCCCCTGGGCGGTGCCTTTGAAGGGTAGTAGGTCTTTGCTTTCCATTTTATTATCATTATTATTATTAAATGGTTTCCATTGTACTATTTATTTATTTACTTACTTATTTATCTATAGTTTTTTTGTTTGTTTGTTTACTTGGTTTTTTTTTTTTTTTTTTTTTTTTTTTTCTGAGACAGGGTTTCAGTGAGTTCCTGGAACTCATTGTGTAGACAAGGCTGGTCTTGAACTCAGAGATCTACTTGTCCCTTCCTCCTGAATGCTGGAATTAAAGGCATGTGCCACCACTACCTGGCTGATTATTATTTTTAAAAGTGTCAAATATTTGGTGCATGTGTGATGCATGTGCATGATGTGTGTGTGTGTGTGTGTGTGTGTGTGTGTGTGTGTGTAATGTATGTATGTGTGTGGGCACCAGTGTAGAAGTCAGAGGATAACTTACAGGAGCCAGTTTTTCCCTGCCACCATGTGTGTCTTGAGGATCTAACACAGGTCATCAGGATTGGCAGCGAGTGCCCCCACCAGCCACTTCACTTGCCCTCATGAGACTTTTCTTTTTTTCTTTTTCCTAGACAGGGTTTCTCTGTGTAGCTTTGCGCCTTCCCTGGAACTCACTTTGGAGACCAGGCTGGCCTCGAACTCACAGAGATCCACCTGCCTCTGCCTCCCGAGTGCTGGGATTGAAGGCGTGCGCCACCACCGCCCGGCAAGACTTTTAAAAAATTTCTCTAGTATTTAATATTATTTAGATTGTAATTACATTATTTCCCCTCTTCTATTTCCTCCCTGCAATCCCTCCTATGTACCCTTTTTGCCATCATTTAAACTCATGGCTTGTTTTTCTTTGTTGGTGGTGTCTGTGTGTGTATTCCTAAATACATAAAAACAACCTGCTCCGTCTGTATGACGTTACTTGTATGTATGTTTTCAGGGCTGACCATTTGGTATTGGATAAGGAAGACTATTTCTCCAGCTCTCATCATTCCTGATTGCCGCAGTTCTTTGTCTAGGGTTGAGGCCTGTTCCCCTTCCCCGCTCATGAGCATGTCTGTTGGTGTTGTACTTATGCAGGTCATGTTTAGGAAGCCGTATCGATGAGACTTTGTGGTCGCAGCTTCTCTGACATGGAGACACAGTCTCGTGGCAAATTTCCTGACCCTCTGCTCTTGCAATCTTTCCACCCTCTCTCCAGCAAAGATCCCTGGCTCTTAGGTGAGGGAGTGCTGTTGTAGATGTTTCAGTTCAGGCTGGGCTGTACAACTCTGCATTTTGATTGGTTGTGCTTTTCTGTAATAGTCTTTGTCTGTTGCAAAGATTATTAGTTTCCTTGATGATGGGTGAGGAGTTCACTTATCTGTGGGTATGAGGATAAATATTTACCTCATTTGATTCCTTTAAACACACAATATGGCCGGGCGGTGGTGGCGCACGCCTTTAATCCCAGCACTCGGGAGGCAGAGCCAGGCGGATCTCTGTGAGTTCGAGGCCAGCCTGGGTTACCAAGTGAGCTCCAGGAAAGGCGCAAAGCTACACAGAGAAACCCTGTCTCGAAAAACCAAAAAAAAAAAAAAAAAAAACACAATATAAATGCTTTATTTAACAGCTGCAGGTCATCCCGTGGGCCAAGTGGTGGATCTCCAGGACCTAGAAGTAAGGGTCACACAGCTACCAAGCACATCACCCTCTCCCATGTGGCCTTTCATATTGCTGATTATAGGGGACTGGTGTCATTCATAAAGTCCACGTATACCTGCAGGCACTGCCCCTGTGAATGGCCCTTTCGCTCCCCTAGCTAGCTTGATGGGCTGCACGAGACCTGTGTCCATGATGGCGGCATTCTAATGGGAGTTCCACATTTGATTGTTTAAAGAGCTTAGTAGAAAAAAAAAATAGGAACCACATCCTTTTCAAATAATCACTGAGAGCATACCTGAAGAAATCTAGGAGAGAAATAAGCAAGAATTATGCATGAGGGCTAAGGGAAAAGAATGAAGTCCAGATAGTCCCTATTTTGTATCAACTACTAATTTTCGTATTTTATGATACTGTAAAGTAATGCATATGCAGTGGAAACTGAAGTTTGAATTCTGGCCATTCCCTTGAACTAGTGCTGGCTGTTAATATACTTACCTATGATGGTGCCGGGAGGTGCAGGGAGCCATTAAAACTCCAGGTATGTAATTTCTGCATAAATAACAAGGAAGCCAAGTTAATTCCTTAATGTATTTACAAATGTGATTTAAAGCTCAAAATGACAGTGTTCCAATTTTGTCTTAGTGTGTTTGGTTATTTGTTTTTTGCAGTGCTGAGGCTAGAACCTAAGGTCTTGAGGATGCCAGGCAAGACTACCCCATCACTGAACTATGCTCCTTGCCCCTTAGAATGGTATTTAAAATCATTTAAAATTTCATTTGGTAAAAAAAAAAAAAAAAAAAAAAAAAAAATTCATTTGGTAAAAGCCAGGCAGTGGTGGCACATGCCTTTAATCCCAGCACTCGGGAGGCAGAGGTAGGCGGATCTCCGTGAGTTCAAGGCCAGCCTGGTCTACAGAGCAAGATCCAGGACAGCTAGAGCTGTTACACAGAGAAACCCTGTCTCGAAAAACCAAGAAAAAAAAGAAAGAAAGGGGGGAAAAAAAGAAAGAAAAAAGAATGCAAACCTCGAATTCTCATTTAATGCCTTTTCTAAGCTCTAATAAGTGAGCTGTTTGCTGTTGAATGCCTCCCCTCCTCTGGTGTGAGATCAGCCATGAACAGCTCCGTGGAGACTGACTCCAACTAGAAGACCCTGGCCACCGCTCTGCCTCCTCATACTCCAGTAAGCAATGCCTCAGCAGACTGCTTCTGGCATTCCAGTCCAGTGAATCACTAGACCAAGAACATCCATAAACTCCATTGCATTATAAAAATGGCAGCAATGACCCAGTGGTCTTCTGTGGCTCCTCAATATTACTAGAGGGTTTCATATTTCCTCCCGACAATTAAGGTTGTGCACCGGCAAGCTCAGTCCCATTATCTCAGGTTTCCCGTGCTCTTGGAAGGGGAGACTTCAGACACCGGGCCACCTGTTAGAATCTCCTGTTTTCTGACAGAGTTGAGAGTGGGAGAGTTCAGGAGATGCGGAAGAACTGCCAAACTGCCCACTTGCCAGCTGACAGTCATTTCTACTTGATGTGGAAATTAAAAACTGAATACCATCATTAAATCTTATATAAATAACAATTCCCGTTTTTGTAGTTTTGATTTTGGTTTTCCGAGACAGGGTTTCTCTCTCTGTAGAGCCCTGGCTGTCCTGGAACTTGCTCTGTAGATGAGGCTGGCCTCAAGCTCATCAAGATCCGCCTGCCTCTGCCTCCTGAGTGCTGGGATTAAAGGCGTGCGCCACCTCCTGCTGGGCTAAATAACAATTCCTTAATATCCACTCTATTTTTACTTTGCTTCAATTGTCTCAAAGACGTCTTTTACAATGTGTTTGAATCACTATCCAAGTGGAATTAACATACTGCATTTAGTACTACTTAATGTTTTATTGCAAATATTGCTTTTCAAAAGATCTGTAACTGACTTTATTATTTCTGAGCCATTTTCCAATGTGGTTCCATCAATTCCAATCCTGTAGTTAGAGATTCACTTCCTTTTCCCCCTTTGGTATTACCAGACATTTTGTTGCCTATCTACTCACAAGCCACATTCTGAAAAGAAATATGAGCATGTCCATTAAATAATGGGCAGTCAAGAGTTTTAGAAAACACTTTATACTCACTGAAGAGATATGCCTCTACGCTTCCTGAAAGTCACATTTTTGGCTCCCAAGTATGTCAGGAACATCCTATTACATACTTTTGGCTTTTGTTTTGCTTTTAGTGCTAGTAGATCAAATCGGGGTCTCCTGCATGTTAGCCACAGGCTTTCCCAATGAACTATACATCCCAGCCCTCTAGTATGTATTAATGAAAGAATACAGACAGACTATAGGTAATTATGAGCTGCTTAGAATTTCCTGGGATGTCACTAATACTGATTTTTTTTTTTTTTTTTTGCCTCCTGTGAAGATCCTTTGAACACATGTGAGGCTGAGAGCAGATGCTAGTTCTACTGTAGGCAACACTAAAATTCCTATAACCACTTTTGCCCCTTCTGAGTACCTTGCCTGGCAGGCTATTTGCTCTGATGAGGTCACAATGCTTTGTTTGTGGAGTACCCCCCTCCCCCAAATACAGGGTTTCTCTATGTAGCCCTGGCTGTCCTGGAACTGGCTCCGTAGACCAGACTGGCTTTGAACTTCTAGATCTGCCTGCCTCTGCCTTCCGAGTGCTGGGATTATAGGCGTGTGCCACCACCACCTAGGTGTGGAGTCATCTCTTATCTACACCTTTAGGAAGAATCAGCTTTTAAACCAAATGAACGTTTGCTGGTAAATTACGACCTGCAACCATAGGGACAAAGATCTCTGGAAGAACAGTTGACAACCTTTCAACTTACCTCTTTCCCTGGGCTCTCTGGGCTTTATTCCAAGTTGTAATGGCGGCAACACAACTGAACTGACGCCCAAGGTACTTGGCCGATTCTTGATTTCCAAGTCACACAAACTCCAAGACCACATTTTACATAGGAAGGGAAAAAACCCATTTCTGGCAATAGAGTGAAGTCTTAGAGAGGGAAGAATACCAAAAAAAAGGTTTCCTCTGTGGTGAAGATAAACTGTGTTGAATATTATGCCATAGAATAACTGGCATATTTTAAAGATCTTTTCCTTTTTTGAACACATTTCCTTACGGATGTTCCCAGAGAACATCGTGATCTATCTTAAGTGTGAAGAGTGATATTCTACATTGCCATTATATTTATATCGTAGAGAAATGTCTAAAAAAGAAGGCAAGCCAATAAAAATAAAGATTTAAACTTTTATTCGGGTAAAGCAAAACCCTTCTACTTAACATGTCAGCCTCCTTGATTCTTTTAGAGATAGGACACGAGGTGCAAGCTTTTGCCTTCCATTTTCTTCTTATAAACCAAATGACATCTTCGGTTCCGGAAGAGCTTTAAAAATGTGACTTCTGATAAACGTTGGCAGAACTGGCGCATTCCTAGAATAAATTCTGTATGCTCAGCGTTTCCTGCCCCAACTCATTCATAGGTCGGCTGATCATGAAACTGCCCACCACAGAATAGGATGAAGAGAAATGCAGGCATGGCACGAGGTTTAAGAGTATTAGGACGTGAGCCACTACCCTGAGAATTCGTAACTAGTCAATCGCTAATCAAAGTTAACAACTACTATGATACACATGGAGTTGACGATTGAGAGGCTTGGCTAAGGGAGCTAGAAAATCGCACACAAAAGAAAACATTATTCCTTCCCCTTCCCTTCCCAGCACGTTTCAACACTAAAAATCCAGTTGCTCTTGCCTTTAAGATGACAATGTTGCCCTGCTCTCAGTTTTCATTCTATCCTATAAGGAAATGTGTGACTCTCTGCCCTCCACCCCACCCCACCCCCAAATTAGGAAATGCCTCCCGGGACTGCGAAGACGAGAAAGCATCCCCAGGCGAAGTTTTATCTGGCTAGGAAGGCGTGTAGAAAAGACATGCGAAGGGGGATTAAAAAAAAAAAAAAAAAACCGAAACAAAACAAAAAACAAACTAGAAACCTTACACCTGTAGCTGGGATATGAGACCAGAAAAACAAAACAAAACAAAAAAAGAACCCCAAACCCGCGGATCCAGACAGCTTCGTGACCTGGGCGTACTGCCGCGGGTCGAACCCAAGCAGCGGCTCGACCAGCACCTAGGCTGGGCCAGCGTGTAAACTGGCTGGGAGGCGAGGTACCCAGGGCGCCCCGCCC